ATCTTACGGTGTCATTTTCATGAATGACTTGGTTAATTAAATTTAATGTGGAACAAGAGCTTGCTTACATTCTACCAGGCTTAAGATGTTCTTACTCACACCTTACTTAAGGAACAATCCCTACTGTTGAATAAGGGCTCCAGGATTTAGCCCTCTGTTAGCAGTCTTCCATAAACCCTTTGTTTTCCTAACATGTTAAAAACCAAGGCTTAATGGGTTCACGATGACATCAGTTATCAAGATTTGTGTGGTGTTGGCAGATGTTGAATTTTCAGTGGAAAACCATTAAACAGATTTGAGTCAGGGCAAGTTTCATAACATGCACGTATTATACCGGTGGTTACATGTGTTGACTTCAGCTTTATTTATTACAAAAGAAAACAGGCCTGTACTTATACAACAACAGCAATGAGAAATTAATCTTCTGAATAGGAAAATCAGTCTTGTCTTGTTAAAGGTACTCAAAGTTACTTATTGAGCATGCTGAGTTTGCAAAAACTATGTCTGCAACTTTCAGATTTAATAAATCTAAAATTAAATATTAAAAAAAATAAGAAAAAATATTTTTGGAGACCTGGGGTTGTTTTTTTTTAACATCTAGTGTAAAGAAGGCCCTATTTCAGAAAGTATTGAATGTTTCATTCTTTGAGAAACTTTCTTTCCAAAATGTCTCAAGTTGAGTGTATGTTATTTTCATATCTGATTAGATTTTTTACTTTTGAATGGTCATTGCCTATCAGCTCAGAACATATCAATTCTGTACTATTTCTAATATTCTTCAACATTAAAAAGTGTCTTTTTGTCGTATGACAACAAAGTTTTCCCAGTGGTATTGTCTAGACCATCTAGTGATGGTGTCCAGGCCTACATGTGGCGTGAAATGCACATAAGAAATATATTCCAAACGTTGAAACAAAAGACATGGGGAGAAATGATTTTTTAAATAAAAGCAAGATCCTATGTAGGAAAAAAAAAAGAAACCCCCTAACAAACCAAAGTGATAACAAAAACAAAAATCAAAGGAGAGCACTTCCATTTGGTGTATATAATAACTTGAAAGGAGATGTTTTTAGTTGCTGCAATGTTTGGTTCACACATTAATTAGGACTTCAATTTGGAGACTTACTGGTGCAGTGTACTGAAACAAAAATGTATTGTGTCTCACTTTCTATTTGACTGTAAACAAGTTGGAGACTGTATTTTCTTGGAAACTAAAATTCATTCAGTTGTTATGAATTACTTCAGATTCTGCTTATGCATTAGAGGCATCTAATCAGTCCTTTTTGTTTTACCATTAAAGTTGTTCTTATAGTGCACCTTTTTCACACTTGAATTTGGTCCTGAGCCTCTGATTGTTAATGCTGCTGCTAAGGCATGAAGTTTTCTGAATGCCAAAATTCATGCTGACAGTAACTAGAAGGTTACAAGGGGTACATCAATTTTTTTCAGTCTTATGGTGCACTACATAGAGAAACATTAGAACATCGAGGGGCAATATTGCACTTCTGTGTGTTTAAAAGTAAATAATTAAAAAAGAAAGGGAAAACCTAACATTCTGTCCTTTTAATGAAGGACTTAATTTTCTATTGGGTTTTTTTAAAATGCTTTGAAGAAATTTTGCTTTTGAATATGCTGATTAATAAGAATTGAAACACTTTCCAATATGACTTTTATTCAGAAAATCTTAAAAATAATTTCACATTGAAATATTGCTTTGATATTGTGGGATTCAAACAGATTTTTAATTGTTGTCAGCTTTTCAGTTTATTTTCTTCCCATTTGTCTTATTCAACATTATAGCTGCACAAAATAAGATCAATGTGTTTTGAACAAGCAATGAAATTTTCATTCAGGGACAACTTCACCATTTTAGGTTTTGCTCCGGTTTGGAACAGGGCCATTTTCTTCTACCCTGAAGTCCTGAATAAAATAAAACTTTGACTTCAGTGGAGGGCTGTTTCTCATCAGGCAAACAAACAAACAAAAAAAATCCCTGACTGGGTGCACACAAGGCCGTAGTTTCTTCATCAGCACAACTTTCCAGTTTTTACACGAAACCAATCACCCGATAAAAAGCTTAGGGCAGATGATGAGCTTTGAATTAGGACCTCAGTTTTCACCAGCTAAAGAAAAAAATTATCATCCTCAGATGCGAGCGTGCAAAAGAAAAACATTCCTTCCCAAACTTTTCAAGTAAAAAACAAATGATGAAATGTTGGATAATTATGATTTCATGAGTTACATGATCTCCTATTTATTACAAATGGGTAAATAGAAAGATTCTGATTATTTACATTGCTGCCCTGCCTCAGGTTTATGCCATTTATTATAGTCAGTAATGTTTATAGCAACTTTTTTCTTAACAATAATATTTATAATATTTTAATATGTGTGTATGGAGGGAAACAGTACATGAAAGAGTTTCAGTGCAAATAAACCTAGAACATTTTGCATTTGGAACTCCTCTGTATTATTTTAGGGCCTCAGTCCTCAAAACAGTTATGCTTAACTTTATTCACACAATTCCAATGGAATACTCATATGTATAAAGCTAAATATTTTCTTAAGTGTTTTCTTGTACGCTTTCCCATCCCACCCTTCACTTCCTGAGATGCATGTGTATGGGGGGGGATAGGTAGTCTAAACAGATTCCTGAACACACTGAACTCTCTCTTCCTTCTCTGGAGCATGTAATTTTCACGAAATAAATATGTAGGGTTTTGTGCATGAATGAATGTATAGATATTTGTACAAGTATTAATTAATTTATTCCTTGGGCACCAAGGAATTATCCCTTTTGCTGCAAGGGCAATTTGCTGTCACACTAAGCAGAAGGTAGTCCTTTCCCAAACAAAACAAACATAGCATCATTTTCAGCTATGTGCTGAAATGTGTTATCAGTATTAAAATGTGTTAAGCATGGCATCATTACTCTAAAACCAGCCACAGAGATATAAAATGCACTGTGAGATTGCAAACTGAGCACAGTTTGACTGTAGGACACCCGGGTAGAGGGGTTTTTGTATTAGAATATACATTGCATTTATAATGCCTTCTTCTCTATAATGTAATTAGGATTTTTTTATGAACTGGTAAAATATAGTAAATAAAGGACTCAGGGGATTTCCATATAGCCACATTTATTCCCACACATCCTTCCAAATCATAAGTGGTTGTCTTCCTTAGAAATGGATTAGGACAAATTGCATTAGGACACGATTGTGAATCTGATTAAGGTGGAACCATGATCAGGTTTTTTCTTTTGGGCAACCATGTTTTCTTATAACAACCAGAAGACAAAAAAGCCTTTGGCAAGATGTTTCAAAGGCCTTTCTCATATACACATAAAAGCAGTTTTCATGCTAATTCAAGAATTGGTCCACACCTATAATTTCTTTATATAGCCAAGACAAAGCTTTGGGCAAAATTTTTCAGTAGTATATATTTCAGATACAGATTTGTGGTTTCAGCAAAAGCTTGTAAAAAGGAATTTCCATGCATAATTTTCTTAAGGAGAAGACTCTGAAGGCAAACTGCAAGAGAAGCGAAAGATCAGGCATTGATTCCAAATTGGTTAACGGAGAGGAACACTGAGAACAAAACAATCCTCAGTGGAAAACTGATGTAATATATAGAATAAACACCTTTTCAAATGAACACACTCTTAGAAAGGCCTCAGCCTCTCCTTGTCCTGTGTTAGCAACTGGCCCAAACAGTGCATATTATGTGCACAGAAGGAAATTAGCATGGATGTGTTCCGTTGATACACAGAACTGGAAATGTTTGGAAAAATCACAACTTGGCAACAAGGGCTTTTAGTTTCTTCTCCACTTCTCCTTATTTTTTTTTTTTAACAGTATTCTCAACCCCATACAGCTAAAGAGAACTTAATTGCAGTGTTATTATCTTTGTGCTGTAGTCAAATCTGTTGAAGATCTGTTCCCACTCAATAGAAAATCAGGCAAAGGAGTCCAGGAAACCACGTTCGTTTGCCTCTTTGCATCTCTGTGGTATATGAATGTATTGGTCTCTTGAACTGACACATAGGATTCAGCCAAGAAGTAGGACTCCACCAGAAGTCTATATAAGTCTATATGAAGGAAGAAATTACCTGTCTCCAAGGTCTAGTGTTTAGTATATGAAAATAAGGAGAATAGTTGGGTCTAATGAATAAATTCTGGAAGCTAAAGGAGCTCCACAACCTTCATGCTTACAGTAGTATCAGTAATTTTACACTGCCCAAGTAACTCTAGCCATCTTCTTTAGGGCTAGGCTTACTGATTTTTACTTGTTTGTTTGTTGGTTTGGGATTTTTTTTCCAGTTTAGACCAGCATCCAGTGATTTGTATTTTAAATTGTTCATGTTCGACTTGATATTAGCATTGTTTTGGCAAATATAAGTAAGAATCTGAATTCTTCAGGTGTATAAAGCAGGCAGAGACCAGACAAAATAAGAACAGATCTGAACCATGGTCCAAATTTCAGGGTGTACCTATCTGAACTAGATTTTTCCTGAGGATGGAAAACATCTAACTGTCTCTTGTCTGTTGTTGTTGGCAACTTACTCTGGTTTCATCCAGAAGCTGAGGGCCTGACATGAATGTGTGTGGAAGCTGGAACTATTGACCCAGCAAGTGAATCCTCACCATTTTTCCAGGCTGACAGTCCTTGGGTACCCTTCCAGACTTTGCAGTGTTTATACAAACTGAGTGTCTGAAGCATTTGGAATTAGTTACATTATTTCATAGTCTGGTGTAATAATGACCAAATGCAAAAACTTTTTATTGTCTTTTTCTTCCCCTGGTACTTTCAAATGGATTTGCTCACACCTGGAACTGTGAGCACAGCTAGAGGAAGATCCTATTCAGAGCGACTGAAAGCCAGCAGTGGTGGGGCACACTTCTGGATTTCTTGTCTAAGATGGGACTGAGTTCTGAAATACAAGTATGCATGTTCTCCCTTGGACTCTTCAAAGTAGAGGTTCAGCTACATTTCACAACAGTAATTCTCAGCTGAAACAGGGAAGGTACAAAAAGCCTACCCTCATATTCTCAATCCTTCTCTTTTACAATACCCTTCACAAGAGAACATGCTGGCCCATGCTAATAGAGTCATGTCTTGTTGTAGAGTTCAGCCTTACCACTAAGGAATTCTTACACTCTCAGCATCTCAAGCTCTAAATTTATTCTGTAGCAATGTCTAATGCAAGTGTCTGTACAACAGTGGTCCTAGTACATCCACTGAAATTGGGAACAGATCAAGAGAAAACATATTGGAAAGAAAACGAAGGTCATGGAAGAAGAGCCTCAGATAGTTGATCTACAGACTTTGAAAGTGACTGGGAAGAAGGCTGCTAAATGACTGAGTGAAGACACATCACAGGTATGTGTTAAATAGCGTGTGTATACATGTAGATGCATATCTGTGCATGCACAAGTAAAATGTGATTTTTTCTTCCTTATTTCAGCAGTTTGTTTTGAAAAACAGAAATTTAGATCATCAAGTACACTTTATTTAATCAACTTACAATTACAATATTATATATATTAAAATGTAAAAGATAAGTTACTAATGTGGGTCAGGCTGATAACATGAATAAGTACAAGAATTTAACTGAAGGTTCACACAATGTCTTACAGCTATACATTGTTAGAAACAGTGGAGTTTTCTGACAATACAGTTGTGGAATAATTATGGGATTAAAAAGCTGGAATAAGGTTATTTAAAGAAATGGTGTAAGGTAATGTGAGCCAGAAGTCTCAAAGTCCCTTAATAGGTGCTCTTTACTCAGTGTTAATACTTTATTTAACATAATGTGCTGTGCACTTTTTAAATTGTTAGCTTGGAACAGATGATTTATATTGCTCTTGCATCCAAACAAGAATTAATGCTCTGATCCTATTTGACCGGAATTGTTAAATACTTTTGTTCTCAGGCTTGTATCAGAATGATAACAAAAACATAAAATCAGCAAGCTTTTTAATGAACACGGGGTTAATTTGAAGTGCCCTGATTTACAGATATTAGAGTAATTCTCTCTCTGAAGTGTTTACTGAGGTGTTAAAAAGTTTGTGTTCACATTCAGCTCAAACAGTTAGTGTACTTCAGTCTGCAGCGTCTTTGTTTCCAACATATTAGAAAGTTGTGGTTAAGAGAGTTGTTGGCTTTTTTTGCAAACAATATCTTTCATAATTTTCTGAGGGAATCTGAAGTGAATGCCACAGGTAATTCTTCTGATCCTACTCAGATCTTGTTTTTGTAGGTTTCCGTTGTTTTCTAGGCGTTGCCTTTTCCCCTCCTTCCAATATTTTAGCTTAATTTATGTATTTCATACCTGCATCATGGTTTACTCATTTACTTTTATTAGTTTTACTGGCTAATCTTGGTACAACAGGATTTTGCTAGCATAAAAGACAGACAGTGCAAGCACATGACTGAGAAAGTTACTTGTAAGTATTCACTAACAGGTGTGCAATATTATAGTCAGTTGTACAGAGGACTTTCACTCCAGCTTATTTTGGTTTAACTACAGGAACAAATGCATGCACTTTCCTTTCTTTGCTGATTATTGTCCCTGTGAAGTTTGGCTGGTAAGAGCAGCAAACAGTCCACTGTTCTGCTGCTGGTGGTTAGAGCTGTTTAAAGGAACTAAAGAACAGGTTCATCGTAAGTTTGGTAGCATTGTCAACGTTTATGAGAAAACCTTATGTCCAAAATGTTAAGAAAAGGTGAGCTGTTTTTATGATCTGGAATGTAAAGCAAGGGATATTTTCAACTTGGCATATTTTTGACTTAATAAAACGTCTAATAAGAACTATGTAGAGCCCTTAAGTGATTACATGCTTACATACATTATTAAAAAATAAAAAAAGAAAGAGAAGAAATGTCAGCTAGTGAATGTTTAATGTCCACACAACTAAAAGGAAGAAGGTGGCAATAAAAGTTCAAGCAATGGCAATGAGAAATGACATTTCCTATAGGCACAGTAAAATGGAGAGGTCATACATGGAGAAGTTCAGTGAGAACCCAAAGTGGCATCACTGAAATTGTTCTGAGATAAAAATTAGAGAATATCTAAAGCTGGTGGGATGAACACCAACAGAGAGTCTGATGTTTTTCCAAGCCCTATTAGAGCACTTCAGCTTTCCATGCTCTGTCAGATGTGCCTGAATATTCACCAAAATGTGATTTCAGATGATTGTGAAGGTTGATAGCCCACCTCAGCTTGAATATGAGCAGGAGAAAAATTGGTGACAATAAAGAGTAAGTATACATTGTGTTGAAATATCCTAAAATAGCTAATATAGCAGATTAATGAACTTTGTTCTGTTTGTATTTATAGTCTGGTATAGTCCTTCCTTTCTGGATTGATTCTTTCAGTCCTAAAATATGTATTATTTATTTAACACTGCAGTAGAGTGAGATTGCAGTTACCAATTTAACCTTAATATCTGGGTTTGAGAGGATGTTTCTTATAAATCAGTGCAAGTTTCTAGCAAATGTGCAAATCATTTACTATATAAAGCATATGTATAAAGCATATTACTTCCCCTAAGTATGAAGATTTTCAACTTGTTCAGCAGTTTCGTTACTTCTTCTGCCTCAACCATTCCAAAATAATTAAACCCCCGATTTGAAAGCTGAGAAGCAAGGGAGAGATGAAACACCCTTTTTTCAGTTTTGTGTCCTTCAGTTGTTAAATGCTTCATGTCATTTCATGGGAAGAAATTAGATGGAAAAAATCTGATATTTCAGACCTACTATGTCTCTCACTGGCTTCTTCTGGATGACTTAGCTGTCTCAAACTGGTCTTCCAAAACTCTGGCAGTCCATAAAGACTTCTTGTAAAACTCAAAGTTTTGTGGGGGAAATCCTGGAACAGCTAACAAATCATGCTGTATGTATGTTACATCAAATAGCTCTAAAGCCCTGAAAACACCAAGATCCAGAGATTCCATAAAGTCCCTTGAGAATTTTAGTTTTACTATTGGTTGTACATGCAAAGTAGTCATATACTCTGGAGATGAGAAGTAGAATGAAAGCCTGAGGAAATAGCATCCGTTTCTGAAAATGTTACAATAAGTGACTTTGCCAAGGTCGTGCAGCAACTGCGAGTCAGACTGCATAAATCTAAAGTTTTTAGTCAAGCTAGCCCTCCAAAAGCAGACTTTTTTTTTCTCTTCCCTTTCATCTAGAGCTGCCACAACCACATTTACATTCTAGATGATTTTCAAAAGAAAGGATAAATAAATTTTCAAATTTTCTTTCTGTTACATCATCTGTTTTTCATGCACCATGTCATTGCACGTAATGCCAAGATGTAAAATGATTCAGGGACTAATGTCTTCAGTCATAACGTGGGAAAACAGAGAAGCAGTTGGACAGTAATTTCTCACACTATTCTACCATGGCAGTTCTTTCTGCTGTGATTTAAGGAAGTACAGGCAGTGGAAAAGGTTCCCTTTGAAAGTGTTTTAAATGTCAAATATAAGATTCATTTCTATACTTCTTTAATCCAAATGGCAGAGTTCTGAGTTAATCTATCAGTCTGACCTGGACTTCAAGTGCTTTGTCTATCCAAACAGCTGTCTCTTAAACTAGAAGTCCTACTAACACCAATGAAGAGTATCATCATATTTTTTAGGAAAAGACAACCTTCATTTCTTTGTGAATATATATCGTGGCATCCTTAGGCTTGTTTAGTAGGGCTGTTTGTGACAGGGCTTTGGATATGCTGTAGCTGCATTGGGCCTTGTTGTTATACACTAGAACAAGAGGCTGTGAAGCCAAGACTGTGGGAGGAAAGAACCTCTGGAATTGTTCAGACAGTGGGAGAAAATTGATAGTGTCAGGGATATTTCCTATAGAGATGCTAAGTCTAGATCTGATCACTGCTGTCATCAGATATGGCCTATGCCACAGGGACCCTGAAGCTGGCTCTGGTGTATTATCATCTGCTGATGGTCTGCTTGAAAAGAGCAAGTCTCTCAGAACATCATTCAGCTCTGCCTGTGAGTGGGTCAACTGTTACTCAACAGTCTCTGTTCAGTGATTGCAAAGGAATATGTACCCTTCTGAAAAATATATCCCCTCCTCTAGCTCAAAGTATAACTTCTCCCTGCTTTTAGCCAGGAGGTGCTACTTTCCCTTAGGATACTAGATCTTTTCCTCCAGAAGAAATTTACACTCTTCTCCCATTTTTGTCATATTCATCTCCTAAAATTTTCCAATTATTTGGCCCATTATTTATGTATGGACAGTGAAGTATATTTCAGTACTAGTCTTTATTACCAGATATGGGATATGGGATCTAAAATATATTTATTTATAATTTACCTAAATCATAAGGAGTACATTATGGTTATTTAGCCAGTCTCCTTCCAGGAAGGACTGCTCACTAGTTTTCTGTTGCAGGAAGGTAATTACATTCTGTGGGAACCAAATTTGAGTCACCAGTGTGGTGATGGCAAGGAAACATCTCAACAACATCTTACTGCACCAGTTTGTCTCACTTTACAGTGTCTTCTGTTTCTTAGTACCCATCTTTTAGCATGAATATCCAGTTATGATTGTTTCCAGAAATGCTGCCAGGTAACAGTTATTTCCTAAGGCTACGTTTGTTAGAGCAGGCTGTGTAAAGCAATCATTGACATGGGTTTCAGAAGTGACCTCAACAGTGCTCACCTTCTTCCATTTACTTCACAGATATGTTCTGTCTCCCAAACATCTTGCTCATCAATCCCATACCTGTTGCACTTGGTATCGGTATTATCTCCACGCAGGCTGATTTGTTTCAGGTAAGTCAAGCTGTCATAGTACTGGTTAATGAAAACTGAGGTGAGTCGCTCAGACTGAAATTACATTGACAATTTATGGGCCATGTCTTAGTTAAATAAAAATATTTTAGATCCCAAACTAGTGAAGTTAAAGTAGCTACAGTTTAGAATAGGGTCTACAGAGGCCTCCATCCAAATACAGTTCAGGATCTCTTTTTGAAGAAGACAATGGGATCAGAAGACCAAACAACACTCTAGTCAGGAGCAGTTGCGTTTTGTATTGACATGTGGAGGTAAAATGAAAGAACTTTTGTTTTTGTTGAGCAGGACTGTGCATGTAAAACTATCTATAAAATGCAGTCATACTCTTGCAAAAATAATACCATAAGTATTTGCTATTTTTCTCTAGTGAAATCAAATAAAAAATTAATTAAAGGTTTCAATCATCTTCAAGCTTTTTTTAATAAGCAAAGTGCCTTTGCAGAAGTTCTACGTAGGCATGGTTAAAAGAGGAAGGGAGGGATCAGATTATTGCACAAACTGTTCAAAGTTTTCTTTTGACCACAGTAAAATTCAAAGAGCCAATCTAAATTTTATGTAGCAGCTTTTTTTCATGGGAAATGTGTCATCCTTGGAAATTAGAATGTAAAATACTGATCCTATAAAATAACCTTGAACAATTCAAATGACTTAGGAAGGTCAAATATTCATCCTGAGCAGCTAGATTCATATTTGAATGTCTCTATTACAAAATTCAAGATTAGACATTTGTTAAAGTTCTTAATTTTTTCCGATTTAGGTTTAGCACTTGGTTTTGGAAGGGAGTGTTATACAGAGATTGACTTTTATGTGGGTTTTAGAGTAGGAATAGGAGATCTGGGAGTTGTTTTCTTTTTGTTGCCGGTGTTATTTTTTAATCAATGTTAATAAAAAAGAACAAAGAGTTTAAGAGTTCTGTATTAATATTCCCTTGCTGCTAAGTGTGATCTCTTATAGATATATTTACCCTGATATGAAACAAAACAACCAGTAATGCAAAGATTGCCACTTTCAAGGAAGTACAATAGTACATTTATGCTGCCTTAAGATTTTTCTACTCTCCTAGCTCTCTAGTTTGAAAAGCTCTTTCTCTTTTTCCTTTTATTTTTTTTTACCCTTCTTTAAGCAAGGAGTTTTGTAAAACTAAATACTAAGTGTAAATCTTGTGGTTAACAGCAATTAAGGCTTGAAGCATGTGAAATCTGGCAAGACACAGAAGTTTAATTTTTTTTTGCTGGTTTGGGTTAATGTGTAGTTAAAATGCAATATGATGATGTTTGGAAAGCCAGCTCTTCCTCTGGGAAATCCATTCAAATAGTAAGCATAGCCATACCCAAAACGGGACTTTTGGAAAAAAAAAAAAAAAGATGATCATATTCATGCCATTGCAAAGGAAAAGAAGTAATCAGAAATGTTTGGGTTTTTAACAGAGAAATTCTCTCAATCAAAAGCCAAACACAATGCAATAGGAGGGTTAAAGGGCCTTATCTTGTTGATTTTACTCACACAACTAGTTCCATTGAATTGGGCAAATATACTATGTCGAAATGTACTCCTTTCTGGGGGTGGAGGGGTGAGGAAGTGGAAGGGATGGGGGACAGTGATTAGATGGTTCTATTAGAAAGCAGTGCAATCTTTGGCAATGGCAGGAGGAGTCCAAATTTCCTTTCTAAAAGACAGGATAATCAGTAGCAATTAAGAGGCAAAGTAGCAGACTAATAAAGTATACTTGTCACCAGTTGTCATCTTAGTGATCAATTCACACCTCCATGACAATAACATCGACCCTTCAAGTGCTCTAATGACCCTGAATCCCTAAAGTGACAGGAGGATTAGGGCAAAGATAATGTGCTGGAAAGGTGCTAATGAAGTGATGGGATTACAAAATGAGTTTCATCCTTAATAGACAGTAAAAGGGAGTGTTCAGTTCCACTCCAGCTATGAGGTTCACATGGATAAACTCTCATTGACTTCCACATCCAGTGAGGATCAGGACCTTAATTTAATTAATTAAGGCTTTTCATTTCTTAGTTAAATATGAAACATGTGACTGTGGCAGCTCTGTGTTTCCTGTAAGTGGCAGATATTTCTTAGATAATTAAGTTTACTTTCTTATGTTATCTTTTATCTTATCTCTGCAAGTTGTATGTTGCAGACATGCCTTGCTTGTATCTTTTTAATTCTGTACAATTAGTTTTAGAGAGATTTAATTTTTTTGAGTATGCAGTATACAACTGCTTTTCCATGAACTGTTTTAAGAAATGAGAAATTGAGCATATAATTAGAATATAATGTCATGTGTTCAGTAACAAAATAATGTCATTTTCTTGCTCAGTGTTACAAGTGCTTAGATAGATGATAGATAGATGGATAGATGGATGGATAGATAGATACTGCATGGCAGTAGCATTTCGAGGTGCTAAAACAGAAATGGTGTTCTTGTAGATGTTGTTGAAAATGCATATTTTAAAATGTCCACTATGTTTACCATGTAATTAAAACAATCCTGTTCATTAAATGCCATCTGTCTCTTGTTAAATTATACTTGAACTATATCTGCAACCCGTTTCAAAAGAACATTAAAGTTGGGGGAAAGGGTACAACAGGCTACTTTTGGTATTTTAAGTCCTGGTCTTCATTAAGCGTTACTTTGCTGCTTCGCTATAGCTAATTAACTTGTATATTGAAAACCCTTTGGAATGATTTGATACAGGGAGATGTGGGAATACATTGTGCAGGGATTAGCACATTTATATTGCTGTAGCTCTGTCCCTGCTGTTTGGGTGATGGGGACGGTAACCATTTACAAATTTAGCTGTATTGGGATCATTTTCAGGTGGTATAAATTCTACTGATAGCAATTTGAACAAAATCTGCTTTTCGTCAGTGACAGATGTACAGATAGATAATTTGCTGCTGCACATTCTAGTGCCAGAGTCTGCCCTGAAAGAATAGTCTTGAGAAGCTTTATTTGTTATAGTTATTTTGTGATTTGGGGGGGGCAGGGGGTGTGCAGAAATAAAGAGGTTTCCAAATTCTGACATTGAAGAGTTGGATTTGGAAACAAGATACTGTAACTTCTTTGATAATCAAAATGAAATTTTAAATACATCTGTGTTGTGCCCTCTGTTCCCCTAAAGATTTTGAAATTCCTGGTTTCAGGCTTACAGTTAAGCATTCAAAAACTAGGTGAGCGTGCTGTACAAATTTTTCCTTTTATGTACTTTATACAATACACTACTATTTATAAGTCTGTAAAATATTGTATGTGTGCTAATTAATTAACTTTTCATAGAAAGCTTAGCTTTCTGTTGAAAACTGGCTCTCAAGACTGAGGCTCAAAATTTTTTTTCCAATTTTAGTAGTAAAAAATGAAAATTGATTGTAATACAGAACACAGGTGTGAACTTCTATATGCTCAATTCAAGCCAAGGAACACGGCTCAGGCATTTACACGAAAAGCCATGAGTGACATGTTTCAGCACCAGTTGTACATCCACAGAGTAGTATAAACTTGAACCAGGAAGGAATGACATCTTTTGTTATGTCAATAAATCCTTCTTTTTAAGTACCTGAATTATATTATAATGCATTTTGGGTTATTCTTAAAAATAAAAAGGCACTTCTATTGCAGACTTTGACCTAAGCTGGCAGTATTAATTTTGAGGGAGTTGCTGTGATATGTCATTTCTTTACACCTTGGAAGAAAAATGGAGCCACAAGACCTGTTTTGTATAAGCTACAAAAGAGTTTTTGGAGAAAACTGACTTTTTGTCATTGCCAGTCAGGGAGAGAAGAGACCTGATAGTCTAGCCTATGAAGGCAATTTCTCCTTGCCAGTTCTGATCCACGAATCAACACACCCTATGAGAGGTACATCCTGAACTGAAGGTGTTTACTGTGGGCTTTTTATATTTGGGTTGTACAAAGATGAGATCAGATTCCGTAATTTGTAAGGCTGTTGAGTTCACTACATGCTGAATGTGAGATAGGCAGCAAGTAAAGGTGAATATGCAATAGTAATCCTTATTGCAGGAATGTGGTCTGAATTTAATATTCTATATCCATTCATGTGAACCTTGTAATTTTCTCTTACAGACCAGATTTGTTCTTTCTTTATAGTTGCAGTACACTGGGGTAGAGGTACTTTTATTTCACTTTGATATAGCATGGTGAGCCATTTTTGAAACAATATGTTCAGTCAGTCTTTTATTTACTATTTCCTTTTGTGCTTAACAGATTGCCCATTCAAAATGGAAGAGCATGAGCACTGTTGCCTCATCGGTCACCTTGCTGTGAAATTGTAATGTAGCAAATGGCTAATGTATGCATACATGTGGGGACTGTTTTAACCCACATTTCACACTGCCATAATCAATTCATTGGTTTTGAAGAACAAAACAAAAACAACAGCCCTTGTCCAGCTGCAGCAGGCAAGAGTTAGGACATATGCTGGTGTGAAAGAGGGAGTAGGGCAGGAGACCCCTGCCGAAAACATCAGAACAAAGGGGGAGCAATCGCCTTGGCAAGGCATGGGATGACTTAAATACCCTATTGTATGAAATATGAATGGGTTGGCATTGTGAATTGCGGTGTGGGGGGCTCCTCCGTGTCACCGATTAGCCACACGATTACCCAGATTACACGGGGAAATGGCTAAGGTAAATAAGGCCAGCCTTCTGCCACCTCCTCCCCGGGGCCAGGAGCGGGCCGACCCAACCTCTTCCCTGCTACTGGGAGCTGAAAGAGAAGGGGGTGGAGGAGAAGGGGAGTGTAGTCATAAGTCCTGTCGTTAACAAAAATAAGGATTTCAAGGGCAACAGTGTTAAAAGGCCTTTCTGCTCAGGCGATATATGGACATTGTTCCCTGTTACATACAATGGGCAAGTAAATTACTTGGTCAAAAGGAGATCTTGTATCCTCTCCTTTGTCTCTTTGTCCTCCCAGGATAAGGGACAGCCATTGAGTGATGATCACAAAGAGTGTGGTAGGTGCAATCTGTGTCCTGCAATCTTCTCTCCCTTCCATAATCTTGTGCACAGATTAGTTCTCCCCTCTCTCCCCACCATGCAGCTCTTATGGCCATAGGGTAACATTATGAAAACTGTGTTTATCTACCCCAGGGCAGCTCAAAGAGAGATTATTTTCCTGTGTTGGAGTTGTAAGGCACACATAATCAACAGTGATCCAACATAAAATCATGTCTATATTATGGAAAGTGAATGAAGTCACATCAGAAGTGCTCTGCAATGCTGTGTACATGTTCACAGTATGAACTGTATAGTGTGAAATTTGTATGTTATACATGTAGACTTAATCTGACTCAAAAGTTATGACATTTTTGTCTCAAAGAAGCTGCATCGTATTCTAGCTTTTCAGTTGAAAAGGCTTCTAATGTTTGTATGTTTTGTAGCATCTTTTACAGCAGTGATCTCTAGCTCTTTTCTAGAATCATAGAATTGCTGAAGTTGGAAGAGATTATTAAGTCCAACTGTCAACCTAGCACTGTGTGTTCACTACTAAACCATATACCCAAGGGCCACATCCACACGTCTTTTGAATTCTACCAAGGATGGTGATACCACCACTTCCCTGGGCAGCCTGTTTCACTGTTTGACCATCCTATCAGTGAAAAAAATTTTTGCTAATATCCCGTCTAAACCTCCCCTGGTGCAAATTGAGGCCATTTCCTCTCATCCTGTCGCTTTTACTTGAGAGAAGAGACGGACCACCACTTAGCTACAACCTCCTTTTTGTTAGCTGTAGAAAGCAGCAAGGTTCCCCGTGAGAGTTGTAGAGCAACAAGGTACACCCCTATCCTGCAGAGAGTTTAACTGAAGGTGCTGTGTGATGTCCCATCTCATTGCAAAGGTACTGTCGGTGCATAAATGAAGACACAGCATCCTTGCAGGGAGGAGTCTTTACACCAGGAGCTCTTTGATGCAAATGATGCTCCCAGCTGCAAGGCACTCAAAACCAGCTGGGCTCCCAAAGGAGACTTCAGCTCCCTGAGTGTTTTTAGGGAGATTTTGGTGTCTATAAGTTGCAGTTGCTTAGAAAGTATTTAATTGGGTTACATGGAGACCTGGTTTTCCTTAGAATGGAAAAGAATCAGTTTGAGGCAATAACTGGGAACGTTGTTTAAAATGAAGGGAAAGGGGCGGTTTGACTTTTCTGATTTTCTTTCTTTTTATTTTCAGGTGACCTACTAACAAAATTCAGCACAAGTTTATGAATAGTTTGGCTTGTCCCAAATTTGCGTTCTTTCCTAAATAAAATATTCAGCTGGAAATTTATGCCAAAGACTAACCTGGGCTACTACATTGAGGTTATGAGTTAATGGCAAAACAGATTAAGAAAGAGGCTAGTGACTGAGAATGGTAACTCATTAGTATTTAATGGATTTTTATTCATAAATATTCAAATAGTGCTCTGGTATGAAAATATTCACAAGTCTTAATAGATCACAGAGAAAAAAGTGTAACTTTCACTTTTGCTTTGATTCACAGCTGGAAGTAAAAAACCTGCTCCATACCCTGCCACACTCCTACAGAGAGCAAACAATTGAAGTGGGAAGAAAAATACCAAACCTAAAGTGAAAAAACACTCAGCAGAAATTTAAACAACAACAACAACAAAAAAAGTGAAGACATTGCAGTTCGTATTTTAAATCTTCACATTTCTAAATGGTGGAGAAACCCCCCAAAATATAATCTCACAAAATTTATTCTCTGACCATCAAATGGACTGCTTGTAGTTTGCCTAAGGTTTCACTGAAAGTGAGCTCCTTGCCCTTTCTGTGCTGCAAGTACTGATATCAGCGTTCTAACCAACTTGGCTAATTGCATTATTTTATGTAATCTAAACAACTTCTTTTTCACTTCATGCCATAATCTGCTGAGCATTGCAACTTTATCTAGTTATATGCTAACTGTGTTTCATCCAGGATTGGATTCCTGCTCATGCTGAAGGAGTCTCTGGATTTGCACCTGTGTATGTCCTTTGTACAGAAGGTGCAACCTCTCCGATAAGTTGTGCTTTTCTAATGCCATACAACCTTACATTTTGGATTTGAAAAGACATCGTGAATGTACTGAGCTTTATTGATGGTCTTCTGGTCAAATGAAATGTGCCTGATTTACAGCCATTCTTTATTTGAAGACAATTTTTTTCTTTCTTCATAGCTATCTCTATTTGCAATCTGTCACTGTCTAGAGCTTTGGGTATGGACACTTCTTGTTACTTTTATCAAACTCAATCAGAATAGTTCAGTGGCATAGAATGGTTTGTAAAAGCTCTATATTGTCCAAAAATGGAGCTGTTTGTCATTGCATACTCAATTTTCCATTTTTTTTTAATATTGTGAAAGTTTGCATGCGCTTTTGGTGTGACATATAATTCCACCACATATCAAAACAGTTGTAATGTTATTGGAAATAAAAGCTCAGTTCTGATCTGTCTTTTACCTTCAAATCCAATTCCCTACAGTATTGTTTTGAATGTTTCCATGCTTGTGCGCTCAGAAGTGCCTAGTGAGCCACCTGTATGTAGGTAGCATGCCAAATAAAAGGAGAGAAACTTCCTAGGCAGGTTTCTTTCC